TCCTCCGAATCGTCTTCCCGCTGCAGCGCTGGCCTCAGTTTCTCACTTCCGCTCGCTTCGAATCGTGCTCCCGCTGCAACGCTGGTGTCATCATTTCTAGCGCCACGCCACGACATGGTTTTCGGTCCTTCCAGATAAGCCCCCAAATCTAGAAAATGACACCCCGAAACAACCATGGGAAGTGATCACACATTCGGTGTCGAGTCGTTGATTTTTTGCCGCAGAAGCCCCTCCACTTTGGGGCGGCGCCACGCCATGCTGTGTCAGGCTACGCGTTGATCTTTGTGCCAATAGAGAGGAGATCTACGCCATGGTAAAGGATGGGAGGGAGGGATAGGACGTCAGATTTGACAAGAACGCACCTAGCTTGTCTCTCCCGCCTCCTCCTCCCCCTCCTCTTCCTCTTTCCCCTCTTGCTCCTCCTCTGCCTCCTCGTCATCATGCAGAATTCCCTCGTGCTGTTTTATTTCTGCACCTGAGCCCCAACATTCTCGAATCCTTCCCAGAGATCCGTCTTTTTTCATACACTGTAGATGTTGATTGTCCCCGAGCCTGGGACACGTCGAAAAATGGCGAACACAAGTAACCTCGTTGTTTGTTGAAAAAAAGGTGTCGGAGGCTTGGGCCCTCGCCATGAACGTACCCCTCCCGTCCTGTCCCCGCGTTATTGTGTATTGGCAAGGTCTCATCTCTTGCCTATACAAAAAGGGGGGGGGGAAAAGGGGGGGGGGCGAGGGGCGATGGCCAACGCGGGCAGTGCTTGTTTTTCTTCGATGCGTAGCGTGCACGGCCGAAGCGGAGCGAGCGCGGCAAGAGTACAACATAGGCAGGATGATGACCCCGAAGACCCACATTGCACCCTAGACAACAACTGAACCAAATCAATCAACGAACTTTCCCTTCCGGAGGATCTTCAAAATCTTCTGGATCAGCACGAAAGCCCGGCCCGCCTCACACACGGAAGCTTTCGAACCATCGTTGTATCCGACCTCGCAGGTTTCTTCGTCGTCCTGAAAATTCAGGGTGCCTGCCAGAAAAACGCCACTCGCAACACCACGATTACCGACATGTGCGAACATGAAAACATTTCCATGGCCCAAATGCCCCTCCAACAGATCCGTGTTGCCAATGCGAATGCGCATGAACCCTAGACCATAACTGATATCTCCGCAGTCCGTCGGAAGGAAGGTGCGCATTTCGCTCAGCCACTTCGGGTCATCGAAGAAGCATCCCGAGAACAAGGACTGAATGAACTTGTGCAAGCTTGCTGTGTCACTGACGAAACCACCACTCGCATACTCGATTGACTGCCGGCGATCCTCAGTCAAGCAAGTTGGCCAATCTCGCTCGTACCGGTAGCTGAGGCTCGGATTTCCACAACGATCTCTATTCTCGAGACCCTCATCGGGCCCTTCCCGCCATGTTTGATACATGTCGGGGTAATCTATTCCTACGCGCTCGTATATGTACTTCCTGAATGCTTCTCTCAAAGTGATGCCAGTTGCCACCTCAATGACTTGACCTATGATCTCATATGCGGAGTCCGTATACTTATAACATTTGCCGGAACAGAGCTTGCTGAAATCATTACCTCGCCATTTTCCTGTTACGCCAGCCTTTCTCATATGTTTCCGCAACTGGTCCATTGTTTCCTGCACGCTCCACAATCTGTTCTTGTTTTCGTCTCCATAAATCTCATCCGTTACAAACTCAATCTTCTCAGAATCCCAATGGTCTACAAATCCGTTTCGATGGCTGAGAAGCATGCGCAGAGTTACCTCCGAAGACCGGTCCACACCTTCCGAATCCATGACCATGTTGCAGTAAAGCTTCTCGCTGAGACCATTGATCATTGACAACTCAGCCTCCAAACCAGCGTTCGCAGGATCAACGCCTGGATGCAGTGGCAACATATTCAATTCAATCACACGCAGAAGTAAGGCAGCGACGAACGTTTTGGTGACCGAAGCTATCTCGAATTGGTCGGAAGGGTCCATTTGACGAAATCCTGGACGAATGCTTCCCGATGCAAGCTTGATCGAAATGCTCGGAGCTTCGACATGCATCAAGCCACCACCGAAACCTCTGTTTGGCTTTATTGCAATATCCAAAGCTTCTTGGCAATGGCGCACGACATCAGCGCGTCGTTCCCTAGCTTCTGTCTCGTGGCTCTTGGCCTGAGTAACATCAGCAGCCTTTGCGCGCAAATCCTTCATTAGACGCTCCACTTTCTTCAGTCCAACTGGTCCCAATTCGGGATCGCCCGTGACTATTCTGTGAATTTTCTTGATACCTGCCCCCTGGTGCAGCAAGTCGCTTATCATCGCATGCACAGCCTCTTCATGATCCATATCTCCCCCGTCCGGCTTGAAGTCGATGCAAGGCCCCAACGCCCTCTGCACGGTTCGCCGTCCACTTCAAGGGCGGTGCAACTCTTGAGTCCTTGAGCCAGAGGCTCGACGCAAAGTGGATACGCAGGGGAGGGAAGGGGACAAGGAGGACGGCGATGAGACGCAGGGCCAGGGGCGAGAGCGGGGAAGGGCGGGGTGGGGTTCAGTGACATCAGGAGCAGGAGGCTGAGAGAGAAGGACTGCCTCTGACTACCTACCAAACCACCCCAACCCAACCCGAAGCCACCGTTGGGATCGTCAATTTCTGGTGGGGGGGGGGTCATTCCAGAGCATTGAGGAAACACGATGGAACACATACGCCCCCAAACCCGAAATTTGGGAGGGTCTGAGTCTTTCGGGTTGGGTCGGGATGGTTTGGTAAGTGGTGAGCCTCTGCATCGCCCTTTCACGACCATCCCCTACCGAGCAGTCGCTCAAACGGGCGAAGCAAAGATCGGCCTAAACAATGCTGTCATTTTTCCCTTGTGTTCTCGTTTTCCCGCGGTCAGTCTTCGTTCCGCCTTCGCTGCAAAACGAATTCGAAACGAAAGCGGTCTACGAAATCGCCAAGACACAATTTAGGTCGACCCCTGGGGTGGAGGGCTGCTCATCTGCTGGTGCAAGCCGGGTGCGCTCCCACTGCCAGCGCCGGTAATGCTCGACGGGCTCCAGGCCAGTGATTGACCCAGACTGGCTCGACTGGACGTTTAGCCAACGCTTCGTAACCACAATCATCCTATCGGAAAGCAAGTGGCCTTAGTCCAGAGCGTGGGATACGTATCAGCTATGCCCTACACATACTGGACCTGCAACATGCCTGCGTGCCTGCTGCATGGCAGACCGACACGCCACGACAAGTGATGAGATCCGATGTGCTCCAAAGCTGCATTTGTGAATGTCCCAATTCGTCTCACTGGAAGTGCCACCTGATTCCTCGCATCCCTGGTGCAGCATGCAAGCAGAAAGGGCTGGCTGCCAAGGTGTTGCCAGCACCACCAGGATACCCACCTTCTGTGCGAGCCTGCGCTGGCAAATGCCCCTGTGAAGCTTACGCTGCAGGCAGATGGCAATACCACGTGATGCTGGACTCCTGGACAAATCTAACAAAGCTCAACTACGGTTCCCAGAGAATAAGCATGGAAACCAAAAGGACATTGATGGGATCTGCCAGCGGAAAGGCGACTTGCCCGTCAACAATGTGGCGGGAGAGTACAATACCCCAATGGGAGGGCAGACGCGCAAATGAACGATCAGCAGAGAAACGAAAAGCGCATACACACAGTGAGCTGCAGCCCGCAAGATCGAACGGACGAATCGAACGACAAGTGAGCAGACCGATGTGCGAACAATGTTGCCGCAATAGCCTGAGAAAACTGCGGAGCAAATGTCGCATGCAGACCGAAGTGTCCACAACCAAGCACAGGTGAAGACCGCCTGATCGCACCGTCTGAAAAAAACAACGACTCATGGCGACCCATGGCACACGATTCAATGAGGGACTCTGTTCTGAAAACGCCGGCAATGTTCTGAACACTGACGCATGCCTGCAGAATCCCGTGTGCAACAAAAATGCGAACCAATTGCAAGCTGCCGAGTACTGGCCGGAATCCATCCCCGCAAAAACAACTCCTGGCTATACAGTCGTGCTTACATAGGAAACGCTGAATAAAGAACGAAAGGGCTTTTCTGGCCACGGCGAGCCTTGGCCACGAACATGCTACGCGAGCTGGATCGGAGGAACGGCCCCACAAACCAGAGCCCCTCCTGAGCCCAAAGTGGCCCTTACTTCAGCGTCTTGGCTGTAGTGTACCTCTTGTGGTGGCATGCTCAAGCCATCGCAGCGTCTCGACTGTAGTGGACACCCCGTGCTCCCCTTGCTTCAGCGTCTTGACTGTAGCGGACACCCACACACACCAGGCGATGGCGTGCCACTGACTGCCACCCGAATGCTCACATGGGCGGGCTGGCCTTGGTGGTCATCAGGGCGCTGTACGCAGAAGAGCGCGCTCGCTGGCGGGCCAGTTTGCGGACAGAGAGGACTCGAGGCACCACTCAGAGAGATAAAAGATGTCTGGGACGGTTCCCATCTCTGTTTCCTTTTGCCCTCGCGCATTTGGACACGCGAGCACCCCTTCGATCTACATTGACGCCCTCACGAGATTTGCCTCTGACCGCACGGTCGATCTCTTGTGGTGGCGGCGAAGACACCGAAGGCGGCAAAGGGAGGAAGAACGTGAAATTGATCGCGACGCCATGCTCAACGGCCTGTCAATTGCAACGCATCAGGTCTGATGGATTGATGCCGCACACACTCGAATCCTCCAGCCATGAATGTTCATGCTGGGATGGCGTGCCTACTGGCCCACAGATCGGATACCGTTTGCGCCAAATGTACAATTTCCCTGCTGCTGCAATGAACAACTGTCTCGTACCAATACCCCGCGCTAAAACAACGACGCTTGCGTGTCAAAGGCCAGTCGTGCTGGCGGCCACAATGGCGAATCACTATGTAAATCCAGCTCTTCCAGAAACCAATGTGATAAGTTATGCTTCCAACCGTCGGGGTACACATCACCCAGCTCTTGCACCTCCACCTGACCACGTGAAACGACTATACGGTTTGCCTTGTAGTGCGGCTTGCCAAGACCTTGCAATACAACCTTGCCTGAAGGATTAGTTCGCCTCGTTTTATGGTGCGCGTGCAAGCGTAAACGCATGTGCGCATTCCCGTCAATGTATTCCGTACCACGGTTGCCTGCATGATACGCGGAAGCTCGTTCGCGACCATATCGACAACAGCCGACCAGAGCAATGGGCAAGTCCTCTCTAGACTCCAGGACGAGTGCAGACAACACAACTTCCCCGCGCCAACAAGAACACGCGTCAAAGAGGGGCCTCCGCTGCCGCGCGGAGGATCTTGTTCTGCCTCTTGGCACCTTTGATCTGGTCCTGGGAGGCGGGGGGAACACAAGGCATGTGCAGACTACGAAGCTGTCCAATCCAAACGCTGTCCCTGTCCCGCCACGCGGTGCGAGGGCGCAGGGGAGCGAACGCAAAGCACGCCACGTAGGGCACACAGCGTGCTACTGGTTGCATGCCCTGGCGTGCCTGACGCGTCCCTGAGCAGTCATTGCACCGACCTGGTGGCACAAATCCAGTGCCACAGGCCTGGCGGATCAGATACTGCGCGCCGAGAGGTGTGACAGTAGATGTGGAGGGAGAGAAAGCGAGAGAGAGAGAGAGAAATAGCAAGATAAAGAGAGAACGAGAGAGAGAGAGAGGCAGCGAGAAAATGAGAACGAGAGAGAGAGGGAGGGAAGGCGGGATAGAGAAACGAAACAAAAGAGAGAGGCACGATTGTGCTCGCAAGCAGGACAGGCAAGCGGACGCGACTGGAGGATAAGGTCTCGAGTGCCATGAGAGCTTCTCTTGGAATGTGCGCCTCTGGTGGGTCCAGCGGGGGGGATTCGACCCCGTCCCTCCCTTTCCTCCCAGGTCCCGCGTCTAGGGCCCCCCCCCTCCGATCCGTAGTCTGGGACGCTCGTGCCCTTTTCCACAAGGGGGGTTACGCCTCCCCCCCCTCCTCCCCGCCTTTGGGACACGAGGTTGGACCCCCCCCTCCTCCCACCTCTGCTTCGGGCGGGCCAGGAGTTGAAACTCTCTCTACCCCTTCAACCCCAAACCCTGAGCACAATCCGCCACCGTGCCCCGTGGCAAATTGAGGCGTGCTAGAATACCAACTGCTGGTTAGTAGGGTTTCTGTAATTTTGTGAAGGGCCCCCACCCCCTTGGTAAGTGCCCAGCTGCGTGCACCGCCCCCTCTTTCCGAGGCCACAACCCTTCGCAAGATATGCAGAATCGCGCTGCCGATGCCCAGACGCCTCCAGGACGGTTCGAGGCGTCCCAAGAAAGCCCCAAGAGCCTTCCCACGAGGGCCTTCAGAGGCAACACCTGTTGATTTTCAGCGGGTTGTTCAACATGTTTTCGGGTTCCCACCTTTTCGAGCTTCCGAGGTCCCATGCCGACTCAAGAGGCCACCAGGACTGCCCCAAGACGGCCCAAGTCCCAAGAGGCCTCCAAGAGGGCCCCAATATGGCCTTAATAGTGGCCTAAGAGGGTGAACACGAACCGGTAATTCGAACCTTCCGCCCCACGAGGCCTCAGAAGGCCCCAAGAGGGCCAGAAGTGGCCCCCAAGAGGCACCCGAGAGGGTCCCGAGAGGCTAAAACCATTGAGATTTCATAGCTTTTGCAATGCTTTTGTGGGTTCTTGCCTTTTCAAGCTTCCGACGCTCCAAGACGGCCAAAGAGGCCCCCCAAACTTCCAAGAGACGGCACAAGAGGCCCCCAAGAGAGCTCCAAGACGACCCAAGAAGGCTCCAAGACGGTCCCAGAGGCGCGCCCAAGACTACCAAAGAGAGCCCCAAGACAGCCACAAGGTGGGCACAGGAGTGGGAACACGAACCAAGCAGTCGAGCCGTCTGCCCCAAGAGGCCCCCAGCAGGCCACCTTGCTTTCTCGAATAGCTGCCACCAAGAATGCTGCGCTGGCACGGTGGCAGAATTGCCGGAGGCAGCTGGATACCCAAACCATCAAGCTCTAACCCCAACCGCCCCCTTCACCCATCCCTTACCGTAACTCCCTAATCCTAGGCGTCACTCCTAACTCTAAGCGTTAACAGTCCGCTAACACTCTAACGCTGCATCCTGACCCTGCCTAACCTCAAGCACATGACCTTCACCCTCTGACCCTGAACTCTGGCCCTACAGTAGGGGCCCTTCCACAAGAACCCTTCCACAAGAAACCCAACCCTGAGACCCCAGGACGTCCATTGACTTTTGGGTGAGGGAACGTCGCGCTTTCCATGGCAAAACCATCGAAACCCAAGACACCCAGGCGCTTTCCATGGCAAAACCATCGAAACCCAAGACACCCAGGGCAGCCTGGAGGCAAGCGGGGTGTTTCTTGGCATGGGCCCCCACTGTGAGCAGCAACCCCCAATGATGATCGTCGACCCGCCTTCGTGCGCTCCTCGGCTCCCTCGCGGCCCTCTGGGGGGCCTCCCGATCCCCTTCTCAGGGTCGGTGGAGCTGGCCGCAGGGCCTCTCCAGAACGACTCGGGATGGCTCCCAGGCTCCAAGGCAGCTCTAGAAGCTTCCGGAAGGCTCCAAAGTGGCACCGAAAGGCCAGCAGGGTATTCAAGTGAGCTGGTCTCTCATTGCGAAGCTCAAGAGCCCACTGTAAGCGTTTCAAATTACCAACACTTCTCCATGTATGTGTCTTGATCGACATTCGGGCTTCGATGGCATCGGCCGGCTGAAGTAATCGTCACACGTAGCCCAACTCCTGGCAACGCGCTTTAAACAACGCCGACTCTCACATCGATCACTACTTCAATGCATAGCCGGAACATTACAAACTGCACCGAGGTCCCTTTTTGGCGTGAGATAAAAAAACAAACGAAGATCAAACTCCTCGAGGAAGCGCCTGTCATTGTCCAAGGCGTCCGACTTCGCTTTCCACTTGTCCACCTCCTGCGACCGGGAGGTCCCACCGGAGGCTTCTGCAGAATGTGTAACTGCGTCCTTCTAGCGACACCCCTCATAAATCCGACTCTCTTCCGACTTATAATCGCCGTTGTATCACACGCCTTCCCCGTGGAATATTGCCATTCTGTGTATGTACGTATGCGGGTCTATCCAGCTCTCATTATCTCTCTCATTATCTCTCTCATTATCTCTAATTATATGCCCCTCTCTCTCTGACCCCCCTCATTTTCTCCGGGTACACCTCCCAACAGAGTGAACACGACCGCACAACTCTCACGCCCAACACCTCGTGTCAAGGCGTTGTGGGGACAACCATTTTGTGGTGCATCAGCCCATCCTGCCAAAAGGGGCAACACAAAGGAAGACGCACCATCGGTGAGAGCTGCGTTTCGTTGCCCTCTGCCCTCTGCCCTCACTCTTCCTCGCTCTTCCCTCCCTTCTCTCTCATTCCTCCCATGCATCCCTCCTGCCCTCCCCCTCCCATCGCTCCACCCATCACTCCAATTGGTAGTGTTGTCTTGCCGCAGGCTGCTTGTCTGGCTTCACATCTACACTTCAAGCCGTTAAGCCGCAAGGAGATTTGTCTTCAAAGCCGCTTCAGCACTGCTGTGTCCGTCCTGCCACCACCAAGACACATACCGCACATATACCTTTCAAATGCACGGTGCCGCCGGGGACACGGATAGGAACCGATCGAATCTGAAAACAAGCGGTGATTTCATGGATCCCGTATGTGCTTCTTCAAAGAAGGGAAGCAGAAATCGTAGATGTGGCTGGTCGGTCGCCCATTCCTGCCAGGGATTTCTGTCTCCTGAAACGTCGCGCGAGCAACCGAGATCCTCAGGACTGCTAAGTTTTGCGCTCAGCGATCGAGGATCTGAAATATATGATCCTGGAGATTTGGAGCCCTTTTTGGGCCTCCAGGCGCGTTCGGAGACGTCCACTGGTTAGGATCCTGGGCGGCACAAACACTTACCACACACGACTGCTTCGGCGAGGCCTCGACTCACAACTGATGACCTCGACTACTCGCGGCCATCCCGCAGCCACACCACAAAGGGGTGAGAACACTTCGAGATTCGACGTCGTGCACATAGATCACAGCGTCGCGAACAAGTCACGACAAGAGCTCTCGACACCACCCTTCTGTACTGCGGGTGCTGCAGATGTCAGCCATACAGAGCGCAGCGGACCCGAGGGCACAAACTCCGAGAGGGCCAGCCGAGGAGCCTAGCTCCGCAGCGTCTCCACCACCTCGCTGCAGAAGGGGTGCGGGCGGTGAGATAGTTCTCGGGCACTACCGATCCGTGGGGATCCCAGTAACCGACGCGAACACGCCCGGTGGGTCACAACGCCTGGATCTGAGAGGAGGAGGACCTGAAGGCCTCCTCTTCTCCTCCTGCCCATCGTTGCAAAACGAAAGAACCACCCCATAGTCTGCACTCCCCCTGCAAGCGAAGCCGTTTACTAAGCGCACCGATGGAAGGAGGCGAACACGGCAGGACTGGTTAGCAAGCGCCCAGGGCATTGTACCAACAAGCTGGACCCACACGTGGCTGCGCTCACACGTGGAACACCTGGACGCCACGCGCTGGATGCACATGCTGGGTCCTGGCGCACCTGGCCATACGGGGGCCAACCGCTGGAAAAAGCATGCGATCACACGCGTATCCAGTCCTCGCCCAGGCCCCCCCCGTGTGCCCTGTGCTGTCTCGCAGCCTCCTCGTGCGTAACCCCTTCGGGTTGCGCGGGGCTCTCCCGGGCCCGCGCCTCGCGACAGGGTGCAGCAGTTTTCGCAGGCGAGCCCAGAATCGGATCGACACGTCGGATCGGCGATCGAAATTAATCGGATCAGCAGAAATCGGCAGCCAAGTAGGGAAACGCCGAATCGGCAGACATCGGCAGGCCAGCAGGCCTCCAGTAAAACATCAGAATCCGAATCGGAATCCGAAATCGAACAAATAGGCATCGGAAGCCATCGAAATCCAATCGAATCGAATCCGAGGAATCGAAACGAGCCCTTGTTTCCATAGCCTACAAAGGTACCCCTGCGGGCGCGAAGGGATCTCCAAGGCCCGCGCCTGCACAACCATCCGGCCGCTCAATTTCTGTTGGGTACGTGGGCCCCGAAGGCCTGGTCCACTTCTCTGGTCATGCATCCCGAATCGTTTCTGGACGGTCCCGAGGGCCCCTGCAGGGCGAACGCAGCCACACACCCGCCGCTCCGACTCTTTTCCAGAGCGTCGGATCTCTGGGTCGCAGCGAGGTGCCGCAGTTTTCGTCGCCTAGAAGGGCGCCCGCTTGCCTCTGCGCTGCCGCGCCGCGGGCCACGCGGTCGCTCTCGCGCCCTCGGCGCCGCCGCTCTGCAGAAGCACGGCCATCCCAGCCTGGGCCGCGGCCGCGCGGATCGCGGCTCTTCTCGCGCCAATGCGGGCAGCCCAGGAAAGAGAAGGAAGAGCCGCGCCTAGACTCGGCGGCGAGCGAAGGGGGGAAGTGAGAAGGAGAAGGCCCTCTCGGACGGCGGCGGGGTTTCTCAGAAACCCTCCGGCCTTCTGAGAAGATTTCTATGTATTCGGGGAAAGCTTCCACAACTTCGCATAAGGCCGAGGGACTTCCGAGCCTTCTGGGAAGGCCTGCTCCTTCTCACTTCCCCCACTGGCGCGCCGCCGATAGACGGCGTTTCGGCATTAACAAATGTGGAATATGGATTTGTGAATGCAAGCGCGCCGTAATGCAGCCACTGTACATGGACCAGTGCTGGGAGGGAGGCCCATGTTTTTCCACACTTTTGGGGTTCAGCCTGAGTCCGCCCAGGACGAGAGCGCTGCTGAGCTGCACCTAGCGTGTCAGAAAAGTCCAAATCAAAAAGGGGGGAGGTGCGGCTCCTTCTTGTAACCCTTGCAGAGCTCGTCCAGTCGCAGGGCCTCCGTCATGAACCAGTCGAGCTCTCCCTCCAGTGCCTCGCGCGAGGAAGGTGGCAAAGGACTGCGCTCACTGGATGGAGCACTTCGGAGGGAGAAGAGGTTAGACGCGGAGGAGAAGACAAGCGGGGGGAGGGGGGCGACGACGAAGAAGAACATGAAGAAGGGGGGGAGAGGACGGCTTCTATGAGTACAAGCTGGTCGAGTTTCAGCTGTTCTGTATCTTCTGCGAATTACTGAGACTAACTACTGCGCGGCCAATCACTGTGATGAATTCCTCGCCCCACGCCTTCCTTCCCCGCCTGGTATGGTTCATACCTGTCCCCTGCATGCTCATGGGGTGTGCGACGCCTCGAAAATCCTCGTGCGTCTTCTTCACGCCCCTTTTTATCCCAGACACGCAGTGGCGTAACGAGCCTCCACTCGGTTACGAACCCGCCGCCCAACACGCTGGCACTGGGACAATCCGTGCGAACACTCCTCGGAAAAAGAAGAGAACACTTCTCAACCGCGAGACACTGGCAGACCGAGCATAACTTCATGCGAACGTTAGACCACGCTCAACACGGACACAACCATTCAAACTTGGTTTCTTGGTCGGGCAAGCGTATCCACAACGAACGCCTCGCGACGATTGTGGTGGCACCTTGAGAAATCTTCAGAGTGTCTCGCGCGAGCGAAGAGACTGCGACTAAGCCCAACACCGTGTGTTCCTCTGAGCTCTGGGCAATGCAGAATACAATAACAGCTCTTCACACACAAACGCAGGTATGCTGTTCCCCACTGTTCCCACATGTTGGCATGAGGGGAGCTAATACTTGTGCGAACAAGATCCTGGGTGTTCCTCGGGACCGGTCTTTTCACCCTGAATAGTTTCTGAAGGTCCCGCAACCAGGAAGGGCCCCCAGAGCCTCCAGGACCCCTCCTTTTCGTGGCGACAAGCCTACTCTCAACGAGCGACCCGCGCTGCGCAACAGCGCGCAGTACACGATACTTGGCACTGGGCTCGGCGCACTACTTGATAAAACCAACTGCTCACAGATCTCTTCTTTTACAGCGCTCGGGGGGCTCCAACTGACCAACTCATCGATCCATGCTGGGCCCATCCTGGACCCAGGGTCGGTGTCTACGCCCCCCTGGCCAAAACCCGGATGGCGCAGATATCGATTGGGCAGGTGGCCAGTGGACGCTCGCCGAATTAGGCCCGTTGAACACAGAATCATTGCAGACTCGAGTAGTTCGCGTGTGTGTAGTAGTATTAGCAGTAGCAGGTGCGGGAGCAAGAGTTGCAGTATCAGTCGTAGTGCCAGGTGCTTCAACAGGAGTTTCAGTAGCAGTAGCAATGAACAAAAAAACTAGTAGAAGTAGTAGTCGTAGTAGTAGTCATAGAAAGTGTAGTCGTCAGAATACCGGTAGTGGTGGTAGGTAGGTAGGTAGGTAGGTAGGGAGGCAGGCAGGCAGGCAGGCAGGCAGGCAGGCAGGAAGGCAGGCAGGCAGGCACGCAGGCAGGCAGGCAGGCAGGCAGGCAGGCAGGCAGGCAGGCAGGCAGGCAGGCCGGCAGGCAGGCAGGCAGGCAGGCAGGCAGGCAGGCAGGCAGGCAGGCAGGCAGGCAGGCAGGCAGGCAGGCAGGCAGGCAGGCAG